GTGACTGATAAATTTTATGATTTAATTTTATGACCTTTATGACCTTGGTCATTAGGTTATTTAATATATGACCTTATTGATCTTGTATAGTAACGTTAATCAATATAAGATAGTGATAATTTTTTTTTAAATAAATTTAATAGAATAAATGAAACAATTCAAACAATTTTTCAATTTTAATAAATAAACGATTCAATTAATAATAACTTTTGAAAAATCCTTTAATTTAGTTTATAAAACTATGAGTCTATGACTAAACGAAAGAAAAGTCACAATTTCTAGGAATTAAATGCAAAAGTTGTATGTATTTGTTGTAGCCAAAATGTTGGAGGTTTAGCCATTACGCAGGTAACATCTGGGTATTTTACTTTTAATAAAGCAAGGCTTTATCGAAATCACCTTGCAAACTGTGAAAACTTTAAAAGTTTATATAGTAAAGAGGAAATTACTGAAATTTTATTCCATTCTGTTCCAGAAGACTCTAAAAAGAAAAGTAAAAATTGTAATAAAGGTAAATTTAATAGACAATATATTTATTAACTACTATTATTAATTTATCATTAATGTGATTTTTTTATATACATCTGATGAAGAAGAAGAAGAGGAGGAAAGAGAGGAAGATTTTAATTTACAAAATTAACCAAAAAGACGAAAAAGCTCAACTTCAACAATATCATCATCCACTTCTTCATTTCGACAACAATCCATCACAAATTTTTGTGCTCGACTAATGTCAATTAATGATAAACCAACATTTGAATTCTTACTTCTTCATATGATCATATCTAATGAAATAAAGATATACAAGCTGTCTTTAATTTTATTTTGCCAGGTCTCAGTTTGCTAAACCATAAAGTAATTAGTGGTAAAGTTTTAAAAAAATGTGCTAATACTTTAAAAAAAAATATTACAAATATTGCAAAAAAAGATATTAATAGTGTTACTGCACCATTTGACGGATGGACTAATGTTAAGGCAGAATATATTTGGGAAGTTGTTTTATTAACATCACAAGGTCAATCTCTTATTTGGGGTGCTCATGATATTAGTGGAGAATCTCTTGAACTAAAAATGTAATTCAACATATTAAAAATTTGATGCTTAAAATAAATAATGAAGGAATAGTAAATATAAAAGCTTTTATATCTGATTCTGCGGGAAATATACTGCAGCACGGTAATTTTTAAAAATTATCTGGTTTTTTTTGAAAATTATTTAGTTTTAATAAAAATCATTATTTAGAAAACAATTAAGAAGGGAATATCTGAACAAAGTGTTTCTTCCATGCATGGCATATTAAATGAACTTTGTATTTGGTGATATTTTTAAAGGAAGTATCCATTATAAACGTACTTCTGTTGAAGCTGTATAAATAGTCAGTTACTTTCATAAATCTCCATATTTTATTGAAAATTTAAGAGATGAATAAACTCAAATTTACAATAAAACTGTATCTTTGCTATCACCTGGAGATACTAGATGGAATAGATACTATTTTTGTTTTCATTCTATTTTAAAAACTAAGGTCGCACTAAAGGTAATTTTTTTAATTTTTATTAAGATTATTATTATTGTAAGTATTAGTTATTTACTAATCTAGTAGTATATAAATGGGTTATCATCTGAAGGATGATGACCCATTTATATACTAAACTAGATCAGTAAATAACTTTTTTATCATCCTAGATATACTAATTGGTCCGCCAGTTTATAACTGGTGGAAAAAATCCTAAATACCAATTAGTAGCCAGGTGATAAAATTAATTATTTCGTTTACTAGTTTATTTCTGCAAAATTCAATCATGAACATCGATCAAATGTAATTCGTACAAATGGTATTCCAAATGTAATACCAAATAATACTTTAAAAAAAAATAATAATGAACGAAAATTACCTGATGATATTGCAGATATAATTAACGATAACGATTTTTGGTTAATGCTTGTAGAACAGAACCCCGCTTACTTTTAATAGAGGTCTCCGAAAATATAAGGTAAAATTTATATTAAAAAAAAATTTTAGGTCTCTTAATAGATAAAGGTAAAATTATATATATGACAAATAAAGGTCTCTGGATATGTAAGGTAAAGTTAAAATAGGTTTCCGGTTTTATAAGGTAAAATCAAATATAAGTTTACAAATGTTTCGGTAAATAATAAGGTAAAATTGTATATAAAATTTAATATTTACCTTATATATACTAATTTGAAATATTGTACAACAATTATTACAATATTTGGTAATATACGTTTTATAATTTTTTCTCAAAATAAAAAATTTATTCTCTTCTTTATACTTGTAAAAACCATTTTATATTTTTAATTTTATTTGCATTAGCACTATCTTTTTGAAAATTATTACAAAAATTAGCTTTTAAAATATAAAAATTCGTACAGCAATTAGCAACTTCAGAATTTAATTTCAGTACTTTGGTTAAATCAAATCATATTTTACTATCTAAGAAAGTTGTTTAGTAAGGTCGAACTACTTATATTTGAATTTTTATAGCAGTTGGAGTAATATTTATTGCATACGAGCATTTTTTTATTTTAATATTAACTTAAAATTTACGTTTTTTGTTTATTAAATTCGGAGCGTAATTTGGGCATTTTAGTCAAATGAAATCACCTTTTTAAGCTTAAGTAATATTGTTCGGCGAGATCGAAACTACCTGAATATTAATTTTCATAAGAATCAGTTTAATATTTACGGAATACGAGCAATTTTCGCACTTTTAATTTTTTTTTATTTTCCCGATCAGTGATTATAGGGCGTAATTTGGGCACTTTGGTCAAATGAAATCACTTTTTCATGCTTAAGTAAAGTTGTTCGGCAAGGTCGAAAATACTTAGATAAATATTTTCATAGCAGTTGGATTAATACTTATGGGGTACGAGCATTTTTTCATAATAATACCAATTACGAATTTATTTTTTTTAAAAAAAAATTAATTAGATTTTTTTAAAGAAAGTAAGTGAATAATAGTTTCGAAGTAAAGTTAAAGATGTGTGTCTTTAAGATTTTTTTTATAGTATTTTTGTAATTCAAAGTACTTTTTTTACTAATAAAAGTTATTTATCTTTAAAGAATAAGAATTAAACTTAGTAAAAATAAAAAATTTTTAAAATTTATTGTAATGATTATAAAATATTTTGTTTATTTAATATTTAAAAAAATTTAGGTCTCTGAAAATCTAAGGTAAAATTTAATATAATTTTAAAAGGTCACTATATATATATGGTAAAATTATGAGATAAGAAAGGTTGGTAAAATTACTAGTAAATCTGAAATTTTGCCCGGAGACCTTTATTAGAAGTAAGCGGGATCCTTGTAGAACTTCAAAATTTATTGTATCCTTTATGTGGATTTTTAAATAAACTTCAAAAAGATACAGCAAGCTTATATGAAGTAATTCATTGCTTTGCATATGTAACAAAAATTTTTAATGAGCATTAAGATTGCTTGCTAAAACCCATCTGGCCTAACATGAAATGCCAAAACTCATACATAGTGCCAAAACTGCCGAAATGCCAAAATGCCAAAACTGCTAAAATTGCCAAAACTGTTTTGGCATTTTGGCATTTTGGCAGTTTTGGCATTTTGATATAGTTTCAGCATAAGTAATACTAATATTTTAATAGAGTTTTAGCATATTTTCGTTATGTTAATAGTATCTGACAGATAAAAATTTATTTTTTAATATTTATTGTATTTATTATACGTAATCCAATGATAAAAACTAGCAACTAAATTCAAATTTATCACTAAAGAAATAAAATCCCAGTTAAAAAAGTTCACCATTTTATTTTTATTTTATTTAATTTTAATAAAAAAAAAATATTTTTTCTTGTTCGCTACTATTTTAAAAATAGTATCTGAGTTGACGATCATTAATAAATTTAGTTTGTGTAATATACAAGTCAATTATTAAGTAAATTAAGCCACACATTAAAATAAAAAAAATAAATAAAAACTTTACCGCCTATTCTTTACATGCTACCCGGACGTCAGTATCAATTCACAGCCCAAAAAAATGTGCTGATATTTGGTGCCTAGTTATTCACTATAAAATAATATAATAAAATTAATAAATTATCTTTGGTGATGATACGTAGGTAGGTTCTTGCCCTCCTACGATTCAAACAAACGAATTGGTTGAATTAAAAATGATAATTCTATTTTTAACATATTTAACTTATACATATGAACCTTCGTGCGATTGACCTCCAGAATCTCGATCAATCTCTCCCGTATTCGTTATGGAATTCGTCATTTCTTTTTTTCTTCTTTCTTCCACTAAGTAATCAGTGTATTTTACCAATAAAAATATTACCAGGTGCTTTAAGTAAACTTGCCAAAGATTGGGATGTTGAGATACAAAAAGACCACTTCTCTCATTACTTTTGGAATGGGTCAATAAACATTGAACCATTGAATAGGACGAGGGCTGGTGATGAAGGTGACGATTGGGCATATTTACAAAATTAAGAAATTAAGAAAATTCGAATGTTAAAAATTTGTTTAAAAGATGTAAGGAAAAAACGCAAAAAGAATGAGATATGAGTAAGTTTTATAAATAAAATTTGGACAATTCCTTTTTGTTCCCTTTCTTCAAAATACTGATTTATTAGTTTGCATCATTAAATTTAAATATCATCCTTAAAATAATAAGTAATTGTTATCCGTCATGTTGTAGATGATAACTGATTTATCACTAGGATTGCTATGTATATCATGTGGCCGAAGGCCACATGATAGAGTAGCATCCTAGTGTAAATCAGTTATCATAAACATGACTGATAATAAAGTTATTAGATATGTATGACGTAATCACCGAACATTTTTTATGTTGTTCAATCACTTTCTAATCATTTTAAACTTTTATTTAACTTTCACCTGGCTTTTTAATAACTTTTTTATACTTCTGTCTCCTAATTTTCAACTATTATTTTCTTTTTTTTTTTTTACTTACTAAAAAATCCTTTATTTCTTTATTATCATGAATACACAACTACCAACACAAGAAGAAATAAATAATTTGCAAAAAGCTTCACTTGTTTCAAATACTGAACGAAACACTACTAAATGGTTACGAGTTGTTGATCGTTTTAACAAAAGTTGTGGAATAACTAAATCTATTGAATCAATAGATTCTATAAATGATTTGGAAAATTATCTTTGTCAATTTATAACATGGTTGAAAAAAGAAGATGGCTCTAATTATAAAGTTGAATCTGTTCACAATTGTTATAGTGCATTAAATAGATATCTTAAAGAACATAGTGTTCTTCAACCAATAAAAATCTGGGATCGTTACAAGTTTCCTCATGCTCTTCGCACACTAGATGGAAAAATGAGAATCTTGCAAGATAAGGGTTTAGGTGATCCTAAAAAATCTGATGGATTGTCTGCCAAAGAAATTAAACAAATACTTGATCACCCATATATGGATATTAACTCAAATGAATCACTTACACGTCGAGTTTTTTTCTGATTATGTTTGTTATGTGGATTGCGTGGTGGAGATGCATATAGGATTTGTAGGAAAGATCTTAACTATCGTCAGGATGGAGGCTTAGAACTTGTATTACATAAAGAGAAAAATAATCAGGGTGGAGCTTTTTATAGAAATAAACATGGAAAGTTAGGTTCACGTCATATTTCTATACCTCCTGATTCACCTGGCAATCAATATACCCCTATAAAAGATATTCTTCTATTTTTATCTAAATTGCCACATTCAACTTCTTCACAAGATGCTTTATTTCATGAAACTTGTAGAAAGAAGAAAGGTATGTTATAATAATTATGCAATATATTTATTATTTATTTACAATTAACTATTAACCATTACTATAAAAGATTTAAAAAAGGCAATTGGTTTAAAAATAAACCTATGGGTTATTCAAAACTTAGAAAAATGATGAATGATATTGCAACAAATACTGGTATTAATCTTGACAATAGACGTTTAATTACAAATCATTCTTGTTGTCGTACTGCAATTCAAATGTTAAAAGATAATGGGCTCTCTGATTCTGATTTGCAATCATTTTCTGGTCATCGGTCTCGTGAAAGTTTGGCAGATTATTGTAAAACTAGTGATAATCAACAAGTATTAAATACTGCGATGTTGATTCCCTTTACTTTACACGAAAATAATTTGGATGAACATAATGATGAGCATATAAATTATGATGAAGATTATTCTGAAAATTCATCTAATGAAGATATGGAGAATGAAAAATGTAACAATTTTAAAACATTTAAATGTTATTTAAAATATTTTGCTATTTAGTTAATATTAAACTATTTAAATATTCATAGGTTTGTCTGAATCACAAGAAACTGAATTATCCATAATTAAAAAAACTCAAGATATTCAAAAAACTCCATTACGAGAAATTCAGGTTTCACCATTTCAAGAAACTCCAGTACAAGAAATTCAGGTTTCCACAATTCAAGAAACTCCAGATCAAGTTTCTGCAATTCAAAAAGTTAGAAGCTCAAGTCAGATATCAAAAAGTCATAAACCCGTAATAGCACCTTTTAAGCCACCTTGTCATTCTGATTTTTCAATGATTGCTTATTACAGAAAAAAAAAACCATTATCTACTGTCAATAAAGCTAATAAAACTAATATTGTTATCAAACTTCCTTCAGGTACCTCCTCACAAAGTTATAGTCTAAATATCAATTTAAAACTTGACTCATAATCAATTTTAAGATTAATGAAAATTTGCGTGTTTTAATTATAAAAGTAACGAAAATTTGTGTATTTTAAATATAAAGTAACGAAAATTTGTGTATTTTAAATATAAAGTAATGAAAATGTGTGTATCACATGATTAGAAAGTGATTGAATAACATATACAAAAAATGTTCGGTGCTTACATAAGACATATACAATAAATCTTTGTTTGTTCTCTTTGTTCTTAAAAAAATCTTTTTTTTTTAAATTTCGTCACACATAAAAATTTTTTAATTTAAACTTAAATAAATCAATATATAAACTTATTTACAAATTTATTTTATTAATAAAAAAAATTATTATTATAATAATTACCTAAAAATAAAGAAAAAATTATTATTCTTCATCTATATCATCTACATCGATGAATTCATTCAATAAATTCTCTACATTATAGTCAAAATTTCCTTTCCCATCGCTTTCTTGTTCGCTTTCTTGCTCATCATCATTACCATCATCTGTATTAATTTTTTCGTATTCTTCTTCAGATTCATCTAAAATATCGTCCAGGATCTCTCCAATTTCTTCAATTATTAATTTGTGTGATAAATCAACAAATTTATTGATCTATACATGTTCTATTAGGACAACACAATTATCTGGAGGAATTGTAATTTGATTAGGTAAACTTTCATTTAATAAAACATCACATTCATCATCATCATCATTGGTTTCTGCCAGAGCCTCTGCAATTCGAATGTTCATTTCAGTTTCGCTAATACAAGTATCATTTTTTTCTATACCGTAAAAATCAAGCTTTTTTTTAGCATTGGACTTCCAATGCATAATCATTTTAGCCATGGATTCTAGTCGGCTTATATTTAAATTTAAACGCTGATCATTAAATAGCCAGCCAAGTGTTGAGAATCCTCATTCACAACTTGCAGAATTTGGACAAATCGCTAATAGATGGCGAGCGACTCTTGGAAGGCTGTTCGGTCGAGAGTCAGTATTGATCAAATTCCACCAATTTAGAGGATCATCTAGAGAGCAAGATTCATCAAGATCAAAAGGTAATTTATTATCACGATAGTCCTTAATTTGTTCGCATAGAGCCCTGGATTCTTTAAGATCAAATCCTAACCTTTTACCAATTGTAGTAGCGTACCTCACGATCTTTGAATAAGCTTTAGCTGTGAGAGGCCTACTCCTAAATTGGGGATCTAAAAAAAAGCAGGTTATATATTTGTCATCATTGAACTCTTTGAATCTTTCATTCATCACGTTGAAACAATGGTTACGGAAATTTTGATTAAATGATTTGGGTAATTTTTTCAAAACTGCTGATAGTCGTATCAAACTTAAAAAACAGTCTTCAAACGTCGCTGATCTTGATTTTAAAGCCAAGACGGCTTTTCTCAGTAGATCTAAAACAAAAGAAAGAATTCGTAAATCAGAAAAAAATTCTGCGTTTGGATAACACGTTTGACCTTATTGTTCAACAAATTACTTTCATTAGTAATAATCTGTTCTAGTACTGGTTTCAACCTAATTATCGAATCTACTGATTCGCTAGCCGTTGTCCATCACATCTTACAATACAACTTTATGCCTCCTCTATAAATACTATTTTCTTTGATGAGTTGTGTGAGTTTAGCTCCAGCTTGATGAGAATTTTTAAAAAATGAAACTAATGTATTAACTTTTCGTAATAAACGATCTCCAAAACTTTCTTTAAGTATATCACACGCGATAAGATTGATCGCATGAGTTATACATCGTACGTTTTCGATGTTAGGATATTTCTTTTCAATAATTTTGTGTGCATTCCAAACGTTTGAAGCATTATCGGACACAATAGCTGATATTTTATTTGGACTGATCTTTTCAATTACTTCTCCAATCACTTCAGCTATGTAATTACCTGTATGCGAATGTTCTGACAAATCTTGAAGTTTATACAAATACTCTTCTTTTGAGGGAGTCATAATAACAAAATTCCATATGGAACGATAAGTGGGGAACATTCAACCATTGAACGCTAAATTATATTAATATTAATATTATTACTTAAAAACACATTAATAATATTGTTTTAAAAAAATATAAAAAAAGTATATTAAAAACCTAAAGTCAAATTAGCTCCATTTTCAATGACGGATGTGACAGTTGAATTCACCATTGCTAATTCCCGCTCAAGTAACTGATCTGACAAAAATTCTCTAGTTGGCAGCTCATACGAAGAATTAAGCTCCTTTACAAAGTTAATAAAAAAAAGGTGCTCGACTATCCGGAATGAAATATCACATGCAACAAAAATTTAGTCAAGGCACAATTAATCCTTGTTACTTTACTATCAGGAATTTTGTTGGAATTATGATATTTTGTCATAGTTAACTGATTATTTCCAACAATTTTTCTTTTTTTATTAACTTTATCTTTACGCTCTAATATTTTATTCTAACAACAAATCCTGGAGCTTCCGAGCAGTGGTTCGCAAAGTGCTCTTCAAGTTTTGATATATCATCTCATGACCATGAAGAATTACAATATTTACAAGTGGCATGATATTTTTCTGAACCAACGGGATTTCCTCTAATAGCGTCCTCCCAGATAGAGCTGGGAGACCTACCACCTTTACTTTTATTTTTTTCTAAATCTAAAGTACTAGTCATATTAAAATGTGTATAAAGTTTTTTTATTTTGTACGTATTTGTTAAAATATTATTATGAGGCGTGGTTTAGTCATAAGTCTTGAATTATTTTAGCAGAATTTATGCAATATATAAAAAGTTTAGATCCCTATGATGATGATTCATTTGCTCAATTTAAAGGCCAATTGGATAGGGATAGGGATAGGGATAGGGATAGGGATAGGGATAGGGATAGGGATAGGGATAGGGATAGGGATAGGGATAGGGATAGGGATAGGGATAGGG